TTCAGACAATGTAAGTGCTCAACAAGTCTAAAACATAGGAATTCCTCCCATTGCTGAAGTCCATCCCATATGATGTGAAAGCTGGAAAAGATAACAAGTAAACATGGGGAAAATATGAGTTTGCAGTAAGAGGAAACAGCAAATGGGGACAGATCAGCAAAAAGGAAGACATCTTACTGAGATATGATTAAATAAACTTGTATTTAACATAAGCCTGGTTCTGGATGAATGTGACAGTACTTAATAAATATTAAAACAGACTACAAGACACACTTCAACACACTTCCACATATTTAAAAATAACTGAGTGTACACTTCTATGTACCCTTCTTTGTGGTTTGAGAAGAAGGAAAGTGGAAAATCAATGTCGGTGCGGAGGAGAAAGGGGAAGTCAGGTCATCAAAAGGATCCCCATGCATCCGTGCACAAGTATACATGCACATGCACGCATCAGACACACACCTCCCCCCCTTATCTCTGGTTTCTGTATCTCATGTATATGCAGCAGAGTGGCTGTGTGAGCTATTGGGTGTACTTGTCTTGTCTGTGGAGGTGTGTGTGTGTGTGTGTGTGTGGAGATGCAAGAATATGAAACCTAACAATGAGCTGGCTGCATGGGCAGGCCCTGGGGACCGCAGGCCGGCCTGGAGGAGCGGCCACCACAACCATCCACATCAATAGGATAAGGCAGCTCATTAAAAATCTCTCTGATATAGATTGATGTGTCTGGGCTGTCCGGGTGCTGCAGCCGCTGCATGCTGGGTATCTTGACTGGGTTGGGGTCAAATCTGGCCTTACATCTCATAGTCTCTGCAGCATCTTTCTGTTTCCTTCCACTGTTCAATGAAAGTGTATGAAGTAATCCTTTGTTGTGGCTGATAGTACAGTGTGTAATGTAATGTGATTGCAGACTGTATTGTTATTCATATATAAAGTATACTTTCCTTGTATTGGATTCGAATTGTGCATGGTTATATTTATCATTAAAATTACACAATTAAATACACAAACCAATAACAAATCCACAGTAGTTGTCCCAACCAAACAGGTTTTTTACTATTTCAATCCCGATTTCCAAAGGGTTTGACTAATAGTTTCTATGTAGCTGTTCTAGGGCTGCCCCCTAATATTTTAATGGTAAATGGATGGACCTGTACTTGTATAGCGCCTTTCTAGTCTTCCGACCACTCAAAGCGGTTTTTATATGCTAACTGTTGTGCTATGCTGTTGTTTATGCTGACGGCACAAGCTACTAGCTGCCATAAGCTACTTACTTGTCCTATTAGCTACCTACCAACTGGAAGCTTGAAGGCATGGTGGACATTAAACATTACTAGTAAGTAACATTACACATCATCCCTCCTATTAATAACTCCCTAAGTATTTGTTTCTGTTATTTATTCTTGTGTATTTATTTATATTTATTCTTTTTGAACAATGAGACTTGTGTGGAATTATATTGAGTTGAAATAAATGTTCTCCTTTCTGGTTGTTTTGACACATTCAGAACCATTACCACTTTTTCTGCTAGCATTTGACAGGCCGCTATATATACACAGACCAGCCATAACATTCTGACCACCTGGGCACCTTGGTGGTCATAATGTTATCCAACCCTATACGCAACAAACTGTGATGCACTGTGTATAGAACCAGCATTAACTTTTTCAGCAATTTGAGCTACAGTAGCTTGTCTGTTGGATCGGACCACATGGACCACCCTTCGCTCCCTGTGTGTATAAATGAGCCTTGGCCGCCCATGACCCTGTCTTCACCACTTTTCCTTCCTTGGACCAATTTTGATCGGTACTGACCAGTACAGACTGGGAACACCCCACTAGAGCAGCAGTTTTGGAGATGCTCTGACACACACACAAAATTGTTGCAACCCTCTTGTAGCCTATGCACCTCCAGTTCATCATATCCAGTGCCTAGGTTGAGCTCATCAGAGGTCTAAATGGTAAATGGTAAAAATTCACGGCATCGGGAGCAATTTGGGGTTTAGTATCTTGCTCAAGGATACTTCGACATGTGGCACCAGGAGCCGGGGATCAGACGCACAACCTTCTGATTAAGGAACGACCCGCTCTGCCTCTAAGCCACAGCTGCCCTTCGTCTATTCCTCATCACATCCAGAACTTCAGCATTGTCTTCATTCCTTCATCACCACCACCACCACCACCAGTGTCTGGACTCCATCAGGGGGTTTCCTATACCAATTACAGCTTTACCAACCCCTTCAAATACATTGACGTTATGATGGGGTCTAATCGCCAAAGACATTTCACTTTTCTCATCTTCATTGTGCACATCAATTAAATATATTTTTTTATTCAACAATTAAGTCTCTCCTGATTGAAATAGTCATCTAGGAAAATCTTTAGTCGGGGACAGCCCTAAGTTGTTTATCCCTTACAACAGTTGCACGGTGTAATGAATTACTGTTAGTTTACTTTCTTATGAACAGATTTCAGTCTATTTTCTTCTTCTGATAAGGAATCCAATGAAACACAATGAAAAGTTAACATTATTTATAAGCCAAAATTCTGAAATCCTCTTAAGCATGACTAAACTTGCACTTCAGTCAAAGTCAAGTGTGGCATTAAAATATATATGATAGCAAATATTTTTTGTAGTAGTAGTAAGATCTTCTAGTGAATGGAAAGCCAGGTGTATGCATGTTTTGTCTGATTTGAACTTAGCATGGGTACCATCACTTTTCAAGAACACGTGTCCTCCTAAAAAACTTCATGTCTGTGGTTCTTCATACCTGAAATAATAATAGGCCTTAAATGGTCTGCTCTCAGCACAGTGCCAGGCTGTGTAGCACAAGCAGCGGCAAGAGATTAAACAATAGTTGCAGTGTGCCAGCTTTTTACAGTCCACATATTCAGCTAACATTATTTCCGACTATCTGAGCTGAAACACTCTCCACACACACACGGAGCGTTTTGAGAAACAAAACCTGGCATTTGAGCATGAAGGTCCATAAATGATAAAGATTTGCAAATGGATGCTCCTGGTCACCCCTCCTCACATCCTCAGGCCTGCCGCTGAATTATGGAGGCAAACACTTTTCCTTTGAAACTATATATCAATCAAACATTAATGGCTGAGGAAGTCTCCAGACAATGGCACTGTGAAACCAACCCCACAATACACTCAGTGTGTGTGTATGTGTGTATGTGTGTGTGTGTGTGTGTGTAGAGAGAATCACAATGGTTTGCCAATTAGAGCAGAAGCTGACCATGCTGTAAATATTTAAATGGGCATCACATATTGTATACATGAAGCAGCAAAGCAGCCAAGCATGCCACTGAACTCTGCAGAGGTCATGGACTTTATCCTTAAGCACTGCTCTAATACAGACTGAACTGACTGCTTAGGAGACCTGCAGCTTAAGTAGGATCACTGGACAGTCTGGATTCAAGGTACATTATGCCTGGCACCGAGAGAAAAGATTACAAGAGGAAGAATTTGAGAAGTCGACAATCTCTTGATCTACTCATATCAAGAACAAGAGGGCAGTTTGAGAAGAAGGTAGCCAGGGCTCGAAGGTGAAAAATGATTGTGGTCAAAGGTGGCACGCGTCCCCTCCAGCTTTACCCACAATGCCTTTAATCCGGCAGGGTCCTCCTGCAGGCTGTCTATCCCTGTGGTGTCACATAAGAGCATTCCCTGGCAAAGCTGTCCTCTAGCTACAAATGCATTTTTAAGACAGTGCACGTTAAACCAGAGCTCACTTTAGCACCAGCCTTGTTGGGGTTTCTGTCTTCATTTGACGTATTGTGACACTGGCCTCGTCTTCTGCACACCAAACTATAAAGTCAAAACAAACCCACCTTTTTATCTTTGATAACATTATGCAGGTGTTTAGTGATCATAAATAGTTTTTGATCCACAATTTGGTTACCTGTGGTCACCTAGTTGTATCATGCATCGTGTGTGGGCAGATAAAGCTGATGTGTGTAACACGGGGAAAGCAAGAGGTAAAAAATATGTATAAACCTCTGTGTGTGATGGAATTTATGTTTGTGTGTATGTGCATGAATGTCCTGTGTACTGTGTGTGTGTATGTGGTTAGTGAGGCTGCAGGCTTGATAAGTATCAGTGCTGCTGTTGGCTAACGTCCTCTTTGTGGTATAAACAGGTGACAAAATGGTTTCGACTTGGTGTGTATATGTGTATGTGAGTGTGGAAGTGTGTGTCTGTGTGGAAGGGTTAGGTGCTGATTAGGGTTAACATTGCTAAGTGGGTGGTTACTAAGTGGGCCCCAAGGTGCGAAAAGCAAATCTGATGATTGCGGCAAAAGTGAGCCAGTGACGATGTTTCCGAAACGACAGTTAAGATAAAAACCAGGGTGAAAGAGAGGAGTCAGTTAAAGAAGAGCAACGAAAAAAAAAAAAAGGTGTCAATCTCTGAAGTGGCTCACACCACAGATGTTACTGTGGAAGAGTATGTAGAGCATCATTAGTCAGTGACCTGTTTAAGGTCATGGACTGATAACACAGGATGTGTGCAGTAAAATGTCTTTACATTCATTCTGAGAGGTCCTCAGGCATCTGGAAACTGATCGTGGGAAGAAACTGTGTGCCACACAGTACCTCATTAATTCAAGCAGACTTTTTAGAAAAGGGTCACAATATGACGTGCTCTACTGGCAATAATTATAATCACATGGAGTTAATAGATGGGTTAGGGTGGCTGGTTTAGTGGGTGCACACACCTGATTTGTTTAATTGTATATTGAGCATTTACCAAAACTATATTTGTACTCCCACAACCAATTAATCATCTTATTCAAGAAATATATTCTATTTCAATTATAAAAAAATATATAGCAAAATTTGCAGTTTTTGGTTAGATGTCTATATTGTAGCAACTAAATAGATAGATAGATAGATAGATAGATAGATAGATAGATAGATAGATAGATAGATAGATAGATAGATAGATACTTTATTTATCCCGAGGGAAATTCAACTCTATCCAATTTGAATTCAATTCAATTCAATTCAATTTTATTTGTATAGCACCAATTCATAACAGAAGTTATCTCAGGACACTTTTCAAATAGAGCAGGTCTAAATCATTATTTACAGAGACCCAACGGTACCACCATCAGCAAGCACTTGGTGATGGTGGCAAGGAAAAACTGCCTTTTAAGAGGCGAAACCTAGGACAGACCCTTCGGCTCTAGCTGGGTGGTTGTCTGTCTCGACCAGTTGGGGTGAGGGGGGGGGTGGGACAGACCGACTGACAGACAGAATTGCACAGCAACAACAGTAGCAACAACTACAATAATAGTAGTGACTGATGATGATGAACATGAAGACGATGATGACGACGATGACAACAACGATGGGGGACAATGAGCAGTGATTATAGTATCTGTAGTATACTACTACAATACTGCATCATGGGAAATCCTCCGATAGTCTAGGCCTATAGCAGCATAACTAAGGGATGGTTCAGGACTCACCTGATCCAGCCCTAACTATAAGCTTTATCAAAGAGGAATGTCTTAAGCCTACTCTTAAATGTGGTGAGGGTGTCTGACTCCTGAACCAAAACTGGAAACTGGTTCCACAGGAGAGGAGCTTGGTAACTGAAGGCTCTGGCTCCTGTTCTACTTTTAGAGACTATAGGAACCACAAGTAGCCCAGCATTCAGAGAACGTAGTGTTCTAGTGGGGTAATAGGGTACTATGAGCTCTTTAAGATATGAAGGGGCCTGACCATGAAGAGCTTTGTAGGTGAGAAGAAGGATTTTAAATTCTATTCTATAAGTACAAATAGAATATAATTTTTATAACTATATTTGTATTTTAATTAGTGTATAATCACTTTTTTTACTGCTTGTTACCATTTGAACCGTCATGTTTCTAAAATAGCCCAGAAGGGACAAACCAAACACTGACTCTAGATAGGGGTGTACACATTTTTAATCTGCAACTCCACCACTAGAGGCCTCTAAATCCTAAATATTAAACCTTTAAATATTGTGAATTTTCTTTGATAAATATAGACCATAGAACTTAATGGTAAGCATACTCTAGTTATTTGTAAGGATGACTTTATGAACAGATTGGTCATCAGCCAGACAAATCATTTCACCTGTCAGTTAACTTCATTAAGTCAAGACGGGATGCCAACTCAACTACTGTCCGTAGTGCTACTGCAATCCCTGGCCTCATGCCTATACTTAACAATGATTCCATTGAGCTGCACCCAGTGAGATGTCACTCACAAAGGAGATTATTTGCTAGGTTCATAGGGACACACGTGGACTTGACATAGCACAAATACCTAGGTAGGCTAACGAAGTAGAGGTGTAACTTCTCCCTGCTCCTTACTAGCCAGTGTCAGTCCCAATACTGATTTGCATTTTTGACCTGACTTTCTAAAAACGGGGAAATCTGAACCATATTACTGGTTGACAGGACTGGTGGGTGTATTGAGATAAGTGGGAACATACTATTTCTAACAACATATTTCGGGCAATGGCCACAGTGTGTGGCATAAGCATTCAACTGTAACCAGACTTATGTAAACAAATAAATGAAACCCATTTCTGTCCAGAGCGGTATTGACTGCATTTCACATGAGCTGCTCTCAAAAGCCATTCATACCTACCGTGCGCGAGATGCTTTTCCGTACGCTGCCTTTGTTGCTTGTTCAAAGTGTCAGAATGTCATGATTGCATGGCCTTGCCCTTGAAGAGCTGTTTGCTTGATTACTCCAGTCATCCATTCAATGGCCTTAGCTTTTGTTTTTACCTGAAACCTTGCAGCGTGCCAGCATCCAGGCTCATGGTCATGTTTGCTATAGTTCATTACCACTGCGAGAAGCTAGAGAAAGGAAGAACTCATCAAAGAGCATTCTTTCTTCCTCCATTCTGTTTAGCCAAGGTTTCATGGATGAGCAAGCAGAGAGGGAGGAGGCCAGGGAGAAAGAAAGAGAATTGATAAACAAAGCAGGCTTGGGTCACACATCTCCAAACGTGACCACACGTTGATAAGAACGTGATTGTTGTCTCCGCATGTTACCACCTTTTGTCTTACACGTTTATTTATAGAAGGGCTAATTTACCCTCTACCCCTACTTATTAGCTCTCACAAGGTGTTGTGCACAAAAAAACACAAACAGTCATCTAATCAGGTCTGAGCCCTCCATGTTCCTGCCTCTGTAACAGTGTGTGTGCTATTGTCACTACTGCTGTAGTTAACACCCTATGGTTGATTTGAAGTGGGAGTGTTGGGTTTCCCAAGGAGAGGGCAGCACATATATCTCATTAGCAGGTACAACAGGTAAGGTGTGAGTATGTTGGGCAATGCTAAAACAGGAGAGCACTTGACACTGTCCAAGCTACTGTGCATGGAATCCACCGGAGCATTTGTGAAGAAGCTGCAAATAAGAGTTAGTAGACATGACAGCATATACCTGCAGTGATCTCATGTGAACTTTCTGATTTGATTTAGAGAGAACGAAGATGCTTTCCAAAAATGAAAGTGACAGATGACAAGAGTCAAAGTAAGTGACTGTCCCGGTCAGTCTTTCCAACACTTTGGTTTGGTCAAAAGTTAGACATTTCAACAACTACTGGCCAGATTGTAATGACATTTTAATATGGATCATGTGACTTCTTTTGGAACCACAATCTGGTCCAAACATTCTCTTTACTTCCATTCCAAACTCAAAACAAAAGTTTGGAATTTTCATGAAATATGTTGTGGATATTTGTGATATCCAGAGCATGGATGATAATTGTTTTAGTAATCTCCTGACCACCATCATGCCAAAGTTTCCAGAAACAACAAAATGCAGTTGGTATAGTAACATGGAAATTGCTTTTTGGACACCCTGTGAATTTTTTTGGAGCACAACCATCAGTGGCATTACATTCTTTAAACTTAACAAAGTGCTATAAGACATAAAATGGTAATTGGACCTGTACTTGTATAGCGCCTTTCTAGTCCTCCGACCACTCAAAGCACTTTTACACTACGTGCCACATTCACCCTTTCACACACATTCACTCAGTGACGGCAAAGGCCATCGAACGGAAACTAATGCATTCATACACATTCACACACCAATGCACAGCATCGGGAGCAATTTGGGGTTCAGTATCTTGCTCAAGGATACTTCAACATGTGGCGGGAGGAGCTGGGGATCGAACCAACAGTAACATGCTCACATGCTAAATGTACTGTGATTGCTTACCATGGTAGCTTAGTGTGTTAGAATGCTAACATTTACTTAATAGCAGTAGCTTGCAGTCTCAGTGCACTCTCTAGTCTCCAAACATTTCACACAGTTATCCCATTTATCCAAGCTGACAACATCAGTTGACTGCAACATTTTTTAGCTTGCCTGTTTGCCTTTTATTCTCACACTTTTTTCTTCTGACTCCCACATCTGAACATTCATCGAGAGATGTCCAGCATGCTCAAACGCTTTTAACTCTTCATTGCAGTTTTGGGTTGATTCATGAGGAGTTTGCTGTGTAAAAGAAAATGTGTGACATATACAAAGACAGATGCCTAGTCAAACATTAGTGTCTCATCGGAGTAACTTACAAAAAGTTGGGGTATCAGAGACAGAGCTGCCTGGAGTGTATCCCTGGAGAGTGGCCTACATCATTCCCTAAATATTTCAATCCCTGTCCCATGTCAGGGAGGCAACTCTCACAGACTCCCCGCTGTTCTCTGTTAATGAATATTAAGAGGGACATTTTCCTGAGGGTGAGGGTCTATTTATTTATTCCCTTTATTGTTTTAAATCTTCTCGCCACTCTCTTGGTCTCTCTGCCACTAATTTAATTGTAACTGGAGAAGAGGAGGGAAAGGATCAAACTAGCTGTTTCAAATCAAACTATTGTCAGCGTACAGCTGTGTGGATGCTAGGAGTGGTAACTTGTTTTAGCCATGCTAGGAATGTTGTTCTTGGGATGGCAATGTTGGTCTAGTCCACCACTTTTGTCCATACTAAATCTCAACAACTGAATGGATTGCTATGGCTACCAGAGGTTGAATCCTAAAGACCTTGTTGATCCCCTGAATATTCATCTAGCGCCACCAATTGGTCAAAGAAATAGGTGCCAGGGTCTTACAGAGCAATATAAGGGCGGCTGTGGCGCAGAGGCAGAGCGGGTCATCCCCTAATCGGAAGGTTGTTGGTTGTTGGTGGCTCCTGGTGCCACATGTTGAAGTATCCTTGAGCAAGATACTATGAATGTGTGTGAAAGGGTGAATGTGGCACGTAGTGTAAAAGCGCTTTGAGTGGTCAGAAGACTAGAAAGGCAAGTACACAGGTCCATTTACCATTTACCATTACCAATATAACATTTACAGATTGGCCCATATTTGGCATAGACATTCATCGTAGAAACATACTGCATTTTTTCATCTTACAACTTTTTTTTTTTTTAGTAGTATAAAAATTTCAGTCAAAACAATCAGTCAGTCATTTGGGTCTGTACTCTCTATAGATAGTCTGAAGATAGGAATGCAAAAGTTGCTTTTGTTGTTTCCATGTGTATGTATATTTATAAATTTATATACATGCTTGTGTATGTACTTATACACCAATCAGCCATAACATTATCAGCACCTAGGCACTCTTGTGGTCGTAATTAGCCGGTTCACCGCTTTTCCTTCCTCTGACCACTTTTGATAGGTACTGACCACTGCAGACCGGGAACACCCCACAAGAGCTGCAATTTTGGAGATGCTCTGACCCAGTTGCCTACCCATCACAATTTTGCCCTTTTCAAAATCTCTCAAATCTTTATCCTGTCCATTTTTCCTGCTTCTAACACATCAACTTTGAGGAACAAAATGTTCACTTGCTGCCTAATATATCCCACCCACTGACAGGTGCCATGATAACCAGGTAATCAGTGTTATTCACTTCACATGTCAGTGTTCATAATGTTATGGCTGATCAGTGTACATACACCTGTATTCACAGGAAATAGTTATGTGATGCATTTTTTGAATTTTCGTTGTTAAGAAGTTCTACACTCACACACGTACACTCAGAAGCGTGTGGAGTGAGGAAGCTGCAGTGAGTGCAGAT